TTGTGTATCAGGTGCGGCTTGGAACAAGAAACGAACTGACCTGCAGCAAGGTGTAGCAGCGAATCGTGGGAAGTGATGATAACAAAAGATACAATGATAATAAAGGTAATAAAGGTAATTTTCAGAGGGAAAAAGGGATGACCACCCACAATTAAAGGTTGACCAGCCCATTTAGGATCATAGAATCCTTATAGTGTAGGCAGGCCATTCGGCACATCAGGTCTGCACCGACCCACCGAACAACATCCCACCCAGACCCTACATCCTCACCCTATCCCTGTAATCTTGCATTTCCCATGGCTAATCCACCTACCCTGCACATCCCTGTACACCGGACAATTTAGCACTGCAAATCCACCTAACCTGCACATCTTTGAACTGTGGGAGGAAACCAGAGCACCCAGCAGAAACCCAGACAGACATAGGGAGAACATGCAAACTCCACACAGACACAGTCACAGTCACCCGAGGCTGGAATCGAACCCAGGACCCTGCCACTGTGAGGTACCAGTGCAACCACTGAACTACCATGCCACCCCATCTTGGGGGGGGAAAAAAAAAGGGGAAGGAGCTATATTTCTGCAATCAGTCCAAAATAATTTGAAGAGGAAGACAACTATGTACAAACAAATCCCAAAAAAGTCTAAAAAGCTTGGACTCCAGAGCACAAACTTGGTCTCTGGACTTAAATATATTGGACAGACAATACAAGAGTATTTCAGCAACTCTGGATATCTTCAAATTCTTTGAAGAAAAGTTTGAATGTGCCTTAACATTTTTTTAAACCCTTCCATGATTGTTTAAAAAACCTGATAAGTTTTGAGCAATTTTATTCATTTCCTATTTGAAACTCAACAAGCCATGTAATATGTACGTTACAGAATCGGAAAAATTAATAATTAATGGGTTATAGGTATTTTGGCCAACATTCCCATGAGGTTTCAGCATGATGGCTCCAAGTCATTTAAGTTTGATGTTGATTGGTAATGAATGAAATGGCATTTTGAAGGAAAGCTGGGTGAAAATGGGCTCAAGAGGTAGAATGGCATACATCAGTCCTTACCTTTTGTACAATGTCAGGTCTGATGCGACTCAAAAATTATATACAACAGAAAAGTTTGAAATCTGTTGGATCCTTGGCACATTCACTAATTTGACAACTGAACCAGGCAGGTCCATTTATATCCAATACACTGTTGAGTAACTTCATAATGGACTTAACAGATCAGTGCTATGAACTAAATCTTCCCATTCTCTCCAAATAATCTTGCGAACCAAATACAACAGGAAGGATACTCTGGATGAAAACACTCGACAGTGCCCCAAATCATTAGGTCTATCAACTTACTGTATGTCCCACACTTCTGCTAAATGTACCCCCCTGCAAGACAGTGCATTCCATGCTGGAGTAGCAGAGACACTATGACCATTTATTTCTCAGTACCAAGATGTGGAAATTCAAATACAATAATGGAATTTTGCAAATGCTACACTTTTGTAAGGCAGCCAGCTTATATTTTATAAAGTATCACCAGTTTCATGTCTTATCTTGGCAAGCGATATTAATAAGAGTACATCAAACTAGACTTCCTGTGGAATACCACAATCAACAAGTCCAAAAGAGCAGAACTGAAGGGTTGGAATTCTAGATATTGCGTATAGTGGAATTTTCCTTATGCAGTCACATCCAAATGACGCATTTCATGTGCTAACTTGAGTATCAGACTAGGAGGTCTGGACAAACCTTTCCTTCAAAACAATTCTGATCACCTACAACGTTCAACAAGTTATTAACCATTTTCATTGCTAAGATGCGCACCACTCTTGAATACTGACAAGTGGATATTTGCACAATGGGTTAATTAGGAAATCCATATGTCGCAACTACACAAAGAAAGAATTTGGTGTGAGGGCTCTTGTAGAGCAGTCGTAGAGTTCCTATCTCTCTACCAGAAAGCCTGGGTTCAGGTTCCACCTACTCCAGAGGTGTGTAATAACATCTCTCAACAGGACTGATTCGAAAATATATCTAAGAATTCAGTGAGGACATGCCGATCTGACTCCTCCGTTAATAATTTTAATGCCTAAGCAAAGGAAAGAAAATCAGTTGTGATTTCTGATCTCAATGACTAGTTATTGATCCCTGCTGTCAAGTACCTTGTCTGTTACACTCCAGATTCAAAAAGCTCACTGTTACGCATGATTTAAGTTTATCTGGAAAGTGGCCACAGAAACCAGGTTACACACAAGAGATAAGAATTGAAGTAGACAGCATGGCCAGCCAAGCCTTCTCTGCCATTCTACATTATCTTGTCTTATTCTGGGTTAATCTAACTCCACTTTTTCAATCAACTACCCATATATACTATTTCCTGAGATACCAGAAATATGTCTATCTCAGCCTTAAGTGCAATGAATGATGGAGCACTCAACTCTCAGGGGTAGAGAATTCACAATCCTTTAAATACATAAAAGGAATTAATCCTCACATTGGGACTAATCCTTACCCGGAGACTGTGTCCTTGCATTTTAAACTTCGAGCCAGACATTACTGTATTCATGCAGCGGTATTTCACACCGTTCCAGAAATCTGTATTTAACAAATCCTGGTTAGGGGTATCCGGAGGGGATAGGGGCATGGACGTCCCTTGGATAACAAAACACGGATGCTGTTACAAGGTCAAGCTTCCTTTTACAACGAAGGACTGCACAATCAAACCTGACAAGTCAATAGGAAACAAAATGATTGGGTCAGGGGCGGCCTCTATGGGTAACAAATGCGCAGATAACAACAAGTGAACATATGAAAAATCTCTGAAATTCTTGTAAACTGCAGAGAAAATAAGCCCAATTTACAGAGCTTCTCAAGACAACCCACTCATTCCAGGGACAAATCTCACGGATATACATAGTGATTCCAAAGAAATTATATTCTGCCTTAAATGTGGAGACCAAAATTGAGCAACATCCAGGGGTTAACTCACCAAAGTACTATACAATTGCAGCAAGGCTTTTTTAACCTTCCTGTACTCTAACCTCCTTGCAATCAAAGGTTAACATGCCATTATTTGTCCTTTGAATGCGCTTTTATGGTCATTATAGGGTACACCCAAGTCTCTGAACACCAACACTTATGTCAAGCCAAAAGAACTGCAGATGCTTTAAATCAGGAACAAAAACAAAGTTGCTGGAGAAGCTCAGCAGGTCTGGCAGCATCTGTGATGGGAAGAACAGAGTTAACGTTTCGGGTCTGGTGACCCTTCCTCAGAACTTGACTTATGTCAAGCCGATTTGTCGAGCTTTTTAAAAGTATTTGTTTTCTATTTTTACAACCAAAGTGAATTACTTCATGTAACTTCACATCTTCCCACATTATATATCCATCTGTCAACTTGTTACAGCGGAATTGTGTTCCAGCAAGCAGTAATGCCTCAGAGAAGATTACGACTTCTTATAGAACCAGGTCAGTTCCTCCTTATTTACTGAGACACTTATACAGTTCACACTTGTACATTCGCAACAAAACCAACAGTTTTCCGGCACCACTTGCAGTTTCTATATGGGGATTTTAATATTTTACTTTAAAAGAACCTGGAAATAAATTGCAAAGAATGTAAGCAACTGGGATTTTATAGAAATGTGCACTGGCCCACTTTCAGAATCAGAGATTGGACATACAACCAAAGATGTGCTTCAGGAACCTGTGAAAGTTCCAACATGTTGCACCCTGTGGGAAATGCAGAGGACATTTGAATCTCTGATGGGCATTTCTCACTCACTGATGTTTCAATTCAATTAGAATTTCAATATACTAAACTCATTAGCTTAACTCCTATGGAACACCACAGAATTGCAGTCACACTGGACTTCCCCAATTCCCACTCTGAAGCCCCTCATGAACATGCTTCCTCCTGACCTGAACCAACTACCAACTGGCCGATCACACAAATTCTCACATTCCTCTAACCATCCCCACTTGACTTCACTGCCATCCTACCCACCCACTTCACCCATCCACCTGAATAGCCATTCATTGAACCATTCACTAACATTCTGACTGGAAAAATTGAACTTATCTGTAGCAGCCAGAGCCATTAAAAAAAAAGAAGAGGGCAGCTCATCTTTTCCCAACTGCTGTTATATGATGGAGTTCTCCTTGGGGAGGGTGCACTCTGCAATTCTGAGTGAGTAAGATTCGGAGCACTTGGCAAAAAAAATGTGGAGCTGCACCAAGTTGGAGAAAAGTTTCAGCGAAGTGGCAATTGATGCCAAACCTATAAGGATTTCAGCTATAACATTCTAATTCTAATCATCTTTTCACTAAAGTTTGTTTACCAACTCAAGCATATGCTTTAATCCAACAGTAATCACCTCCACATTGAGAAATTGAAAAATAAAAGTTAAATTCAAAACAGATTTAAGGATTGACACACATGCATCTCTGATTGAAAAATTACAGGCTCTGTTTACACCATCTACACAATAACCTAAAATATCTGCATCCATGACTGTAACCAATTTGTATGTCAGGGAAATGACCTCAGGTTTTGTCTTGCATTATGAACTGAAATCAGACTGGCTGCTTTGAAATAAAGTCCCAAATGCAAGGACAGAGATCTGATTCATTAAACTACCTTGCTTCCAGCTAATTTTCCACCTGACTGGAGATCACAAGTAGCCTGACAATTCATGGTGCTTCCTTTGCATCGCTCGAGCTTCCACCTCTTCAGAACCTGGCAGTTTACTTAACCATATTTTTTCTTGTATCAAATGAAGGACTATTGATCTGTCTTAATATGAGTCACAGGTCATTTAAAGGTTAGTTATTATGAAGTGGCTCTTTTCAGTGGTCACATAGCTACCTATTGTTGAGTCACCTGGTGGCAATGATCTATCCTGCTATAGGTCTTCAGCTCTAGTTGCAATTACAGGGTACCTGCTTGTCCAGAAGAGGCAAGTAAGACTTGCTGTTCAAATTGACAAGATTCGCTGCATATCAAATGATGGACATTCCTGATGTAATCATAGATAATGGTTCTGGGCTCTGCAAATCCGGGTTAGTTGGTGACAGCATTCCAACATCAGTCATACCATCCATTGTAGGTACCTTCAAAGTCAAGGGAAACACACGTGAAGCATCCCATACAGAAATGTATTTTGGAAAAAAGGCTCTAGCTAAAAGAGGTAGTGGGTGCTTAAAACACCCTATTGAGCGTGGTACAGTAACCTCCTGGGAACTTTTGGAAAAGCTTTGGAAACATGTTTACACATCTGAACTTCACATAAAACCAAAAGAGAGGCCAGTTTTGATAACTGCTGCTCCATTGACTTCCTTCATTGACAGAGAAAGGATGACAGAAATTATGTTTGAATGTTTTAATGTGCCAGCTATGTACGTGGCTATTCCTGCAACTCTGGCACTCTATGCATCAGGACGAACGAGGGGAATAGTCCTTGATAGTGGCTTTGGATTAACGGATGCTGTACCCGTTTATGAAGGCTACTACCTGCCCGATGCTGTCAAAAGACTTAAACTTGCTGGAAATGACATCACTGAAAGTGTGAGGAGACTTCTATTGGAAAATGGTCATAACATCTCAAATACAATTCCTAAGGAGACCTTTGAGAACATCAAAGAAACATTGTGCTATATTGCTCTAGATCCCCAGCTGGAGAGCAAAAGTCAAACAGATGGCATTCAACAGGAATATACACTCCCTGATGGAAATCTGATCACACTCCAAAAGGAACTCTTCAAAGCACCAGAACTACTCTTCACAACTTCCATTGTAGGTTTGGAAGAACCTGGAATTCATAAGTTGATCTATGATAGTATTTCAAAATGTGACAGAAGCTTGAGAAAAGATCTCGTTAGCAACATTTTACTATCTGGTGGTTCTACTCTTTTCCTGGGTCTGGAAGAAAGATTGCTGAAGGAGATTAAATTCCAAGTTCCCAGTGGATTACAAATTAAAGTCATTGCACCACCAAACAGGAATAATTCTGTTTGGATGGGTGCCTCAATTTTAACCAGCTTGACAGCCTTTAAGGACATGTGGGTCACGAGTAATGATTACAGGGATTATGGGCCAGCTATCATTAACAAAAGATGTTTCTAGGAATTACTTATGCGACTGTTTAATTTTGACTGCACAAGATCAAATACCTTAATAAATAGTCAAAATTTCATACTAATTTTGCTTGATCGTCAACAACGAGGAGCTTAGTTTATTTTCGAGTGTAATCCGTTCACTGCGTTCATAGTTTATCAAGTTTTAAAGAGAGGCCAATAACTCCAGTCAAGAACTTTACAAACTAGATGGTATGACGCTGGATTGGTTGTAAACTGAATCAGTGCAAGACTGCCTTTTACAGAAAATTTCCCTCCACATCCCTCTGGAATTAATTAGTCCTTGACCTCAAATTTACACTGCCAGTTCAACATCAAAATGCAGTTGAAATAATGTAGTACTAACAATAAACTCAGTAAGTATGTATTTGATGAAGTGCTTGACTATAAATATTGTAATTAGTACTACTGGAAGAAAAATTCAAATTGTAGATTATTAATTTTAATATTGGCAGAACAAATTAGATCAAAGCAAAACAATGGTGTTTTCAGTATTTACCTATTTAAAAGGGGTTGGGGGGGGGGCGGGGGGGTCCACGGAATAGGCACGAGCAGAGAAAAAGACTTTCACTGAGTTTCATCACACAAACATTAGGCCATTTCATCCCTTTGGGCCTGCTCTGCCATTCAATAGAATCAAAACTGGTCTCGCTAACATGAAATCTGCACGCCCACCTACTGCTGATAGGTCTTTTTTGAGCAAAGGGATGAAAACGTATCTACTTCTGCCTAAAAACAGGACATTGCTTCCACTATCTTTTCAGGAAGAGAGTTTTAAAGAAAGACAACCCTCAAAATAATTGCCTCATCTGTTTCAAATGGATGACCCTTGATTTGTGAACAGTGACCTTCTCACAGTACTAATTTCTCCCCCAAGACACTCTTGAGATCTTATGTTTCAATCAAGTTGCTTCTGTAGATCTGAGCTCCAATTGATACAAGGTTGTCCATCCTTTCTTCACAAGACAGCCCCTCATTCCAAATAATTTAGTATGCCTTCTCTGAACTCTGAAATTCATTTACATTCCTTAAATACATTGACCAATACTGTTCATCGTGCTCCAGATGCAGGCATTACCTGCCAACATTGGTAGTCAATTCCCCTTGTGATCACCTTTTGCAATTTATCCACAAAGACACTCAGATCCCTCTACACCTCAGAGCTCAGCAATCTCTCTTTGTTCAGATCATATCCTGCTTCTTTTATTCCTCCTGCCAAAAGACAATTGCACATTTTCCTGCATTATACACCATTTGCCAAGTGTTTGCTCGCTCACAATCAATCAATCTTTTTGTAGCCTCTTTATATATCTTTACAACTTAATTTTCTTCCCATCTTTACGTCATCACCAAATTTGGCAATCATACTTCCATCCCTTCATCCAAGTCACTCATATAAAGCAGTTGAGATCCCAGTACCAATCCCTATGGCATACCACTCATTACATCTTGCCAACCTCAAAAAGACTTATGGATTGACTGATTCCTGTTAGCTAGCCAATTTTTTATCCTTGTCAATATGCTATCCACTGCACAGCTTTTATTTTTCACAATAACCTTTAAGGTGACACTTATAAAATGATATAGATCAGAACAGACTGGTATCAGCTGAAGCGGATAGCATTTCTCCATGAACTAAATTCTGGAGCTTGTGGAACCAGTTTTAAATTGTGGAACTAATTTAAAAGTTCAAACATGTCATACTTTTGGCATCATATTTAAAATGGAGGTGGTAGTGCTAAGACAATCACCTCAAACACGCATTTATTTTTACAAAACCAAGCAGAGTCAAAAAATGAAGGCTAGATCCAACAATTTCCATACAAGTCTTTGGAAAGCCCTTGAACTGAGTAAACATTTTCTCAACGATGGTAAACTAAATTGACAGTATGAAGCCAGGCCTTTCACGGTACAGGGCATTGTGTTGGTCACAATTAAAGACTTAGAAGGCTTCCTGCACCTGGAGGTGCATGAGACAAAAAGCTTGCATCCATTTCATAGCTCCCAGTTTCCTAAACAAATCACTAACCCGAAACTGGTGGTTATAGTTCTTGATGGGTGCTAAACTACATAAAACATGGCTAACCAGGAGACTGTTCTTACTGCCTGCCATAATCAACGTGTTAATGTTTTCAAAATGCCTATCGATCTATTTGGCCTTGTTAAGAATGCACCTTCTGCAGCTATGAAGCCCTGGAATGGATTTTGAGCTTCTGGCACAGAGGTAGGAATGTTACCCACTGCACCACAAGACCACCTCAATGCAACCTTTCTGGAATACTGAAAGTTTTTAATTATCAGCACCAGCATTTGTACAGTACCTTTAATATAGCAAACTGTTCCACGGCACATCATGAAAGTTTTAACGAAAATTTAGTTCCGAGGCACAAAAACTCAGGACAGATTCCTTAACGGTTGTCAGAGATGGGCTTTAGGCAACATCTTCAGACAGGTCAAGAAACAGAAAATGAAGGAATTGCAGAACTTACCACTGAAAGCCTTGACCTTAATTGTGGAACATTTAAAACTCAGAATCCACAAGATGACAGAATTGGAGGTGGTCAGATATCTCAAAGACTTGTAGGGTGAGAAGACCAAGGTCATGCAATCCGAAAACAAGGATGAAAAAGATTGAAAACTAAATTACAGTGCACAGGGTGATGGATGAACCAAACTTGGCATAGGTTAACAGAGATTTTTGGATTAGTTGAAGTTTATCTTAAAGATAAAGATGGAAGGCCAGCCTGGAAAGCAATGGAATAAAGGCAAAGCAGAGATTAGGGAAACTGCAAAATAGCTGTGAATTTGTTGCAGTCAGATCAGGTTACGAACACAGTCGCAGTCAGGGTTGGTGAAGGGATGGATGTGGTTTAAAGCTTACCATAGGGTCTAAACAGAAAGTGTGCTGACACCACCAAAATACATGCAGTACAGATGTGCAAAATACACACACCATACCGCTGCCTGTAATATTATTCTATCCTATTCCTTCATATTTATTGTGCTTACATGGGCATCGCCTTTTTTTATACTGGCACAGCATTTTCTCCATGTCAGGAGACATAGTCAGGTAACAACACCAAGTCTAGTTCAGTTTCAGACAGTTAGTTAGAGGGGACACAGTGACAGAAAAGGCTGCCGGGGACTAAAATCTGTGATAAAAATAATGGACAAAGGTCTTCAAAATATTTGAAGAAATTCCTGTTTATTCAATAGTTATCCTGTGTTGAATGAAGTTGTTTCTTTAAGTGAATAATCTTTTCATCTAATACATATATCTGATCTTAAACCACACAGTTGGTGCTCCTAAATGTACTGTGACCACATGCTCACCTTCAAAACATTCGGCTGACAATGGTTATGACACACAGTAGGACAATATCTATCCAACTGCACTAGCAAAACACTAACTACAATCATGAACAGAGGAACAATTAAATCATCTAAAATGAGTTAACCATTGTTAACATTTAACCTATGAACAGGCATGAAAATATTTAGAAAAAATATTGAAACAATGTGCCAAGCAATTTATTAACTTATTTTTCTAATCAACCTGTTCAGAGATGTTATTACATACTTCTGGAGCAGGAGGAACTCAAACCTGGGCCTCCCAGTGCAGAGGAAGGTACACTACCACTGGGTCATTTTATGATTACATGACATCTATATACAACATATATAAAACAAGAGTGTAATAAAATTCACTCTGACCATAATACCCAGCCACCTTTGCATACATAGTACAGTATATGGTGATGGAAAGGATAATTTGCCCAACTAGACTATTCCTTTGACAGTTTTCAAATTTTTAAATTCACCCATGAGATGTTAGTGTTTCTGATTAGGTCACTGTTTAGTACCAATCTAATACTGCCCTGGAAATGAGTGGCTTGCTCAGGTAAGATTGGCAGATTTCAATCCCTAAAGGACACAGTTTCATTGAGAATCAAAGTTGTACAGCATGGAAACAGACCCTTCGGTCCACAACTCATCCATGCTGAAACAGATAGCCCAAGTTAATCTAGTCCCTTTTGCCAGCATTTGACTCATATCCCTCTAAACCCTTCCTATTCATATAGGCATCCAAATGCTTTTTAAATGTTGCAATTGTATCCACTTCCTCTGGCAGCTCTTTCCATACAGGCACCAACCTCTGCATTCATAAACTTGTCCCTTAGCCCCTTTTTAAATTTCACTCCACCTCCTCTCACCTTAAACCTATAACCTCTAGTTTTGGATTCCCACATCCTGGGAAAAAGATCTTGGCTATTCACATTATCCATGCCCCTCATTATTTTGTTAACCTCTATAAGGACAGCCGTCAGCCTCAGAGGCACTGGGAAAGCAGCCTCTCCCTGTAACTCAAACCCTCCAACCCTGGCAACATCTTTGTAAATCTTTTTTGCACCCTTTCAAGTTTAACAACATCTTTCCTGTAGGAGACCAGAATTGCACACAGTCTTCCAAAAGTTGCCTAACCAACGTCCTGTACAGCGGCAAAATGACAGCCACACTCCTATACGCAGAGCAATGACCAATAAACGCAAGTGCGCCAAACAGCTTTGTCACTACCCCGTCTATGTGCAACTCCATCTTCGAGGAACTATGAACCTGCACCCTAAGGTCTCTGGCAATCCTCCCCAGAACCCCATCAAGTGGCTAAGTCCTGCCCTGATTTGCCTTACCAACATGCAACACCTCATATTTATCCAAATTAAACTCCATCGGCCACTCCTTAGCCTATCTGATCACGATCTCATTGTACTGAGGTAACCTTCTTTACTGTCACAACACAACCTATTTTGGTGTCATTTGCAAACTTATAACCATTCCTCTTACATTCCCATCCAAATTACACATAAATGACAAAAAAGCATTGGACCCAGCACTAATTCTCGGGTCACACCGCTAGTCATGGGCCTCCAGTCCTAAAAACAACCCTCAGTCTCCTCCTTTCCAGCCGACTTTGTATCCAAATGGCTAGAT